GCAGACTCTAGAGATGGAAGTTACTTTTCCTAGTCACTGTGCGTGCTGTTGTGTTGGAAAAGAGTAGCAGTGAATTGTGCAGTAGAATACAGCCTGGATAACCCAGAGCACCAAGGCAGGCACGTGTCTAGGTGCTGTAGCATGCTGCCCCATCTCTGAAGGCGTTTGAATGGGGCCCTGGGCAGCCTGAGCTGGTGGGGAGCAGCCAATTCATGGCAGGGGATTGGAAGTGACTGATCTTTAAGGTCCTCTCCAACCTAAGCCATGCTGTGTTCAGGCTCAGAAAAGCTTTTGCTGTGGGTCACCTTGCAATTGTGGTGCGAAGTCCAGCACAGCAGCTCTGCCAGGGATACAGTGCCAATTTAATTGAAGATGGAACAGCAGCATCCCTTTGCTGTCATTCTTGACTTATGCTAGCAGTAAGATTGGAGCAAACAAGCTAAATAGCTTTGTAAATGAGGTAAAATTAACCTAATCTCCTGTACTAATCACGTACCTGAGGCTCTGGGAGTGCAGGTCATGTGAGTATATTGTGGTTGGTAGTAGCATCAATCGAGACCAGTTTATATAAATCATCAAAAACATAACTCAAACGTGGACTTGTGCAAGGTGAAAAGCAGGGATTGAAACCTAGAGCCAGGTTTGGGGCTGCGGGCCTGCCTCCAGTGCTGACTCTATTGAAAAATCTGCAGTCCAACAGCAGCCAAAGCCTTCCCTCTGGCTGCCCTCTGACCTTAGGGCATGTCTCATTAGCGGATTAAGCCCAGAGTTAAACGAGGCCTCTGGGAGAGCAGGGCTAGGGGTCTGCCACTGGGACTGGAGTGATTTTCCTGAGGCCAAGATAAGCAGCTCTCTGCCTTGCCAGAGGGGAGAAGATAAAGAGATAAGGTTTGTTTAGCAGGAATAAATCCTGGGAAAATCTGCAGTAAACTGTGATGTCACAGCCCTCCTCCAGAGGTAAGAGAGAAAAGCACGCTGCGTTCCTCTGTCGCTGTAAATCCATTACTTTGTGCCCGGCATGGAAACCCCCTGCCCTGCCAGCACTCGCAGGCGATGGATTTCACACCCCACCTGCCTGCTGGGGTCAGCCCGAGGTAAGAGCAGGGCCACAGCAGGGATTTACCGCCTCGCTGGGCTGCTGCCCTCCCCAATTTTCTGGTCAGTAACCCTGTGAAAGGAGAGCGTGTCTGGTGCGGCAGGGAAGAGATGAAGGGGGAAGAAATGGTGGCTGGATTCTTTCCAGGACGGAAAACTGTCTGTCCAAGAACTTCTCTGAGACACAGATTAAATATTCCTCTATCCACCATTAAATTACCGTGAATGGGTGGCTGTGCAGTGCCTGACGGGCTGTGTAATAAGCAGTGCTGTGAATCTCCTCTCCTTTCTTCTGCATTTTTCTCCATCCCAGACAGGAAAGGCCCTGTCTGTAAGAGTCATTCTCTCCAGTTGGGTCACAGTCATTGCCAGTTTAGAATTAACCTCAAAAAGGAACAGCAACACACACTATGCCCACGTGTTGCAAGCTATGCTTCCTAATAAAATGCTCCAGTGGCCCCACTGCTCTGAGCATGCTCTGTCCCCATGTCCAACCATAGGGCTCCCAGATGAGCAGGCCAACAAAAGAAAAAAAACCACAAATAAAGAGCCTGGGGAGATCCTGCTCCAGGGGAGGCAGAGATGGGGTCCAACAGTAAAGCGTGGTGACCTCCTGGCCAGCGTCCCATGGGGGCAGTGACTGGACATGGTGGGGTTGGTGGTTGGACTGAGAGGTCTTTTCCAGTCTCAGTGGTTCTGTGATGGTGAGGATGGGTGATGAGGCTGATGCAGCCACTCAGTCTTCTCACAGTCTTTAGGATGAAGCCTGTGCCAATTTAATTTGGCCAGATGTAAGACAAGAAATTGGAGATCTCATAGGGCCGTGTAGGAGCATTCAATCTTGAACTTGGACCAAAAGCAAGTTGTATTGAGTTTTGAGTTTTATGCATCTGTGAAAAGTAGCAGAAATGATGGCAGGAAACCTCACTTCCCACTGTGCCATTAGGGAACTTTCACCTCTCACAAAAGAATGGTCTTTTATTTTCTGCTTTTCTCTGATGCAGGCTGAAGCCTTCACCTGAGTGTGAGCAGTGTCAAGGACGTGAAAACTTCCCATGGAAAAAAAATCAGTCCTGAACTTAATGCTGCCAGCAGGATAATCAACAAATTGCCTTCCCCAGATGGCCCAAATTTTAATAGGGTTGCATGCAAGACTTGCCTATAGGATATTCAAGGTCCCAGAGTAACTGTTGGGGCATAAAAAATATTATGTCCAAGAGCTGCATCACAGGCAGATGTTCCTTTAACAGGTTGTCCTTCACTTAACTGTTCCTCCATGTATGTTTCCTGGCATTCAATGAATCAGTGGCAGCTCTGGGGAGTGGGGATGTTTGAAACAGATGAAAGTGAAGAGTGAGGGATCTACTTTTTGTTTTGCAATAGGAGTGGGAAAGCCACAGTGCATATGTGAGGTCCGTCTCTAACCATATTTATTCCCCTTGCCTTTACCTGACTGCTTTCTGCTCTTCTTGCTGTGCCTTCCATCGCTCTGTGCGCTGTCAGTTGACCTTGCAGTGCCTGCACATCACTGATGCAGTCCTGTGAGGAGGCTGAACTCCACACCGATGCAAACACTGCAGTCAAATGCTTCTGTTGCTGCTTCTGTCGACAGCTTGTAGTGTTTTCTCTCTCCTTTCCACAGAGATGTAGGTTGTGAAAGAAAGCAAGTAACTGCGTACCCTTGCAGTTAAGCAATATTTTGTAAATATTTCCTGGGAGCCTGTGAAATTTCTCACATGTTCTCCATTTCCCCTGAAGTCTGCAGAGTAGGCATACAGAATATCACCCAGTCTAGCTCTGAGTGCAGGAGCATGTAAATAGTCTTCAGTTCTACAGGCGTTGTGTAGATGCTAAAGCCTGATGGCCAACAGCAACGTGCTGAGGCCAACACGCAGGCCAAATTGTTATCTGTCTGCTTTCTTACAGCTTTTTCAGTCTGAACACAGCTCTCTCTTTGCAGATGAGATGCTCTGAGATGAGATTTCCCATGAAATGGCTCTGCCGTGCACATGCTTGCTCTGAAGTTCTGCAGCCCTTCAATGATTTTGAGAATGGACAGCCAGCAGTCTGCCTGCATGTGCATCAGTGATTAATAAATGGGCTTAATTGTACATTTAACTCATTTAGGAAATGAATGAGAGCCCAGATACGTCTGGGCTTTACTCTTGCTTAGTTGCACTGGGAAGGGCTCTTTGAGCCTGCCAGATATCAGTTTTAGTACCAGGTATGAGATGGGTTTAAGTAATCCTTAAAAATAAGCATGTTAAAGCCTTCTGCAAGGGATTTCTTGTAGGGAGGAAAAACCACAGGACCCAATTTGTTGTGTTTATCCTGCTGGTATTAAGTCTGTACTGGGAGTTGGTCTAGATGGCCTTCAGAGGTCCCTTCCAACTCTAAGGATCCGTGATTAATTATAGGGACTGAGTTATAAGCAGTGGTGTAATTGAGACCTACTTTCCCTCTTCTTTCTGCTTTTGAAAGAAACTTGAACTATAAAGATATAGTAATCTAAGTGTGCTTATTTAACCATAAAAAATTCAATTTAACAGTCAGATCCATACTCCATTCCTGTGATACAGGAAACAACTGTAATCCTGGGTGGCAGGTGATAAGACCACTGCTTGGAAACAGCGTCATTCCGAGAGCAATGAAACTGTTTCCATTTTCAAGGCCTATTTTTCACCTGTCCCTGATTAGAGTAAACCTGCATTTGATTATGTGAATGTCTTTGTTTATTTTTTTTTAGTACTAAATAGCAATTATGCACAATAGACATAACCTACTGTGGAAAAACCTGTGTTGCCTTGAGCCACGGTTGTGAGCAGTGGCAATCTTTTGCTCTTTCTCCTTTGGACCTTGCTGCTGGGATCACAGAGCACTCAGATGGTTTCTGTATCATTCTCCAATCGCTCATCATTCATTTTTAAGATGATGAACACAGAGCAGAATGTATCTTGAAGGGCAACAATGGTAGATTGATTCATATGTAGATATTTTAGGTAACAGAGATGGAATCATGTCATTTTCTAGATTATAAGAGATAGAAAAATAGTGTTGCATATAGTAAAAAAAAAAATATATATATATATTCCATTGAATCTGTTAAGCTGTGGATTAGTGGTTGAAAGCTTGTGGTGGAAGCACCATTTTATGTTTGAGACTCACCTTGTTGTCTCACTAGGAACACTTACAGGGGTAAAACCCCATGAGGACGTTTAACCAACCTGGTAGCATCTCAGGTTGTTTCTCACTTCCATGATGGTGTAGAAATACAGACAGGGTTGTGCTGGTTCTGTCTTCAATATGTGTCAGATCTGTGCTATACAATGTTTTGTTTCCATGGGTGTCCAGTATTGTTCTTTATGCAGGAACTATTGTATCAGTTTTACTGTGTTTGTTAACTGGGAGTGGCAAATGAAATCTTGCTTGTACTAGCTGCAAATTAAATTAATGGTTGAAATCTCTCCTTCTAAATGGCTGTATTAAGATGAGCCTTGTTTGAAAAGCAGCTAGGACACCAGCCTGGAAACAGTCAACACTGGGAATTGTTACCTCGGATATGCTGGAAAAAAATGTCTTACTGTATTTGTGAAGTGTTTTGTGTATTTACTGGGTTAAGCTAAATAACTGCTCTTTCTTGTTGTTGCTTGTAAAGGACCTGCAAGCAGAGCATCAGCAGTGGGATCCAGCCACCAGCAGCTCACTGAAGTCCCATCTGCTTGTACTATAAAATCATTGTTAGTCTTAAGTGAAGCAATGCAACAGGGCTGACAGTGAAAACACATCAAAGATGTTCATCAATTTGTTGAAGTCAGAAGCATGTTTTAATTATCTTAGATTTGAAGCAGAAGTACTTTGGCTCTAACAAAAGGTTTGTTGGGTTTTTTTTTTTGTTGTTGTTGCAGATCATCCTGTGGGGTCGAACTGAGAAATGCCTGAAGGAGACCACAGAGGAAATCAGGATGATGGGGACAGAATGCCATTATTTCATCTGTGATGTTGGAAACAGAGAGGAAGTCTATCGGCAAGCCAAAGCTGTGCGGGAGAAGGTTGGTGTGCAGAAACAGTGTTTGTAGGCAAAATGCAGTAATTCCTTCTCTTTGAGGAAGGTGGTCATGCTGGAAAAAAGAAAGGTGAACATCCAGCTCATGTCATGCAAAGTTCTAAGTGATCCAGAAGGATGCCTGCAGACAGGATGCCAAAAGCTGTGAAAATAAGAGTGTAACCTGGCAGTAGTAGACATTCAGATAAAATAGTGAGTGCTGTAACGAGTTATTTGTTTCCTTGCAGGTGGGTGACATCACTGTCCTAGTGAACAATGCTGCTGTGGTCCATGGTAAAAGTCTGATGGACAGCGATGATGATGCACTGCTCAAATCACAGCATATAAACACCCTGGGACAGTTCTGGGTAAGATAAGCTCTCACATCTCGTGAGCTCAGACTTGGGACTGAGAGTGACAGATAAACTCGTGGCTGATGCATTGTCTTTCTAAATGGAAGTTAATAAAATAACCATCAAAGGTTCCAATAGCAATGCAGTATTTGATGCTCTTGTATCCCCGTTCTGTCATTTCCAGCAAAACATCTGATGTCTTCTGAGAAACTCAGCCCACAGAGGAGAGTTTTCTGTACAGTGATGTGTATGGAACATCAGCTCAAGACTGCCTTGCTGGGGGAAGGAAACACATTCAATTTTGAGTTAGATAATAGTAACAAAAAAGAGCTTCCTGTGATTTCATCTCGTTGCTGAGGACTTTATCCTCCACAAGAAGCTCTCAACATACAAAGCATTTTGTTTGTGGCCTTGATCTGAGGCAACTGCTTAAGTATGTACTAGGAAATATTGGTTATCCTCTATACCAACTTTTCCTGTTTAAAAGCTTTCAGAGAGTGCAAAGCAACAAGGCACTCCTCCCCTCCTTTCCTGGCTGAACAGGCAGTGCAGTTTGACTTGTTGTCTCTGTGTCACCTTATTGTTTTTTTCAGGAACTGTTGTTTTTGTTGCATCTCTGCTGAGTAAACCCTTTCTCCCCCTCACCCCCTCTGTTGTGCTCTTCAGACCACCAAAGCGTTCTTGCCAAGGATGCTGGAGTTGCAGAATGGACACATAGTTTGCTTGAACTCTGTCCTGGCCTTGTCAGCCATCCCTGGTGCCATTGACTACTGCACCTCCAAAGCTTCTTCTTTTGCCTTTATGGAGAGCCTGACCTTGGGGCTGCTGGACTGTCCTGGAGTGAATGCCACAACAGTGCTGCCCTTCCACACAAGCACAGAGATGTTCCAGGGCATGAGAATCAGGTCAGTCCAGGGGAACTAGAATAAAGCATCTCATTTTAAATGAATCATCAGAATACACTCCTAATTAATGCTTCATTTAGTTAAGAGAATTTGATGTCTCATTTGGCTGCCTGGGAACAGAGGGTCACTCTAGGCCACCTGGGACTCATCAGACTGGTTCCCTCAGTTTGCTGGCGTATTCATCCAGCTTGCCTGCCTGTACTTAGTGAGGCAGTTGCTTCTACAGAGAAATCTGAAAGCTATTTTTCCCTGGGTGTATTTGGGCCATTTGCAGCCACTTAGAGAGGGAGGAGAGGCAATCTGAAAATTGAGGTCATTCAAAACGGAGCAGTCTACAAATTGCTTGAGAATTAACAGTGCAAATTCCTTCTTTATCCATTGATATATTTAATCCTTTCCCACTAAAGGGAATGAAATCCATTTACTGAAGTAAGGCTTTCACTACATCCTTTAAAACAAGCTAAACTAAAAAAAAAAAAAAAAGCCTAATGGCTGACCAAGTTAATCTTTTACGATCAACAAAATAACCTCTTGGTCAAGAAAATATGCAGCATCCAGCCAGGAAAAGCCTTACAGAGTCATAGAATGATAGAATGCTTTGGGTTGGAAGTAACCCTTAAGATCATCTAGTTCCAATTACGTTTGATATTAAGAGCTGAAAAATATTTGCCTTTCACCTGTGGAGAATTTGAATGAATCAAAAAGCAGCAGAGAGAAAGAACACTGACATTGGAAGGGCAGCGTTTTGGCTTTGGTTTGCAGACAATTTAAGAAAATCCCTGTATCAGGGTGCTGAATACTTTGTGCCACTTCATCCTAAACCCTTTAGCTGTAATACAGTACCAGTGGTTGGAATTGGGCTTCACAATCTCCTGCCCCTTCTTAGCCTGCTTTGAGGCATGTCTGAATACCAGCTGCCAATGATAACTTACAGTGAGTAACAGAACGTGGACAATGATTTCTAAAAGAAGGAGTTTGGTTAACAAATAATTATTTTATTTTTTACTTTATTTATTTAGGTTCCCTAATCTTTTTCCTCCTCTCAAGCCAGAGACTGTGGCTAGGAGGACAGTGGAAGCTGTGCAGATGAATCAAGCCTTCCTGCTCCTTCCATGGACAATGAATGTTCTGGTCATCCTGAAAAGGTAAATATTTCCCATGCCCAGCAATAGTCCAGCTAGTGAGGCAAGATTTACTTGCAGTCCTGCTCTGTCTGTTCACCAAAGCAAACCTCAATTTGACTGTTTATCAGGTAACTGGGTTCAGACCAAGTCATCCCTTCCTAGGAGAGCCACGGAAGCAGTAGAGGGAAACTTTTCTGAGGTTCCCTTAGCAGATTTGTTAGATTTTCTTTTTGAGTTTGCCCCTTGTACAAAACCAGTTTTACTCCCAAAATTAGAGCCATAGAATCGTTAAGGTTGGAAAAGACCACTTAGATCACCGAGTCCAACCATCAGCCCATCACCACCATGCCCACTAAACCATCTCCCTAGGATTCTGTTTCCTGAGGTCTGAAAACTGCCATCTGGGAAATTTCTTAACCACTAACATGTGTGTCTCCTTTTGATTCAGTAAGCCACTCTTTGGACTCTGTGCTTTGTATTGTAATGGATTCCTATGCAGTAAAGTATGTGCATCACAGCTGTATTTAGAGAACACGTGAAGCTATCAAAAATATTTGTGTGTATGATTAGGACAGGATTATTTTAAAGTGCCTAAGGAAAGAAAGTCATAACTTTATATCTTGAAACAACTGAATAGAAAAAGCACATAAGAACGTTTTTCTGTGCAAATTTGCACCAAAGCCTGTGGAAAACCTACTTCAATCAGGAACTGAAATGGAAAATAATCACAATACTCAATACTAAGAGAGAAAAAAAAATATATAGATAGATAGATACAGATATTTACACATCCTCCTATTAGAACAGACTGAAAGGTTTGTCTGGTCTGCTTATTTTCTCTCTGCTCCTCCTGTAGCATTCTCCCTCAGGCAGCACTTGAAGAAATCCACAAGTTTTCTGGGAGCTACACCTGCATGAACACTTTTAAAGGACGAACATAGACTTGGTGGTGGAAGGACTGTTCTTCAGAGAGACCAGCACAAGCATGAAAATCCTGACAGGGCTGTGAATCAGCAGTCTTGGCTTGTAGCCTGTTCATGTGACTCGCGCTGCTTTGAGGCAACACATTTCTTGCAGGTCATATCCATAGTAACATGACCTTTGCACAGGATTTAATGACCAGACTATGGACCCTTGGCAAGAAAAAACAGAAAGTGTGAAATGTTTATGTGATGTTAAATTCTTTAGGGTTCAATTGTTAAATCAGCTCATAGTTTTAAGATGTAATTTTTGTTTCTAAAGGGCTGTCTCAGCTGAGAGGCAGCATGTTGCACCCCAGGCTTCATCCGCTGTCTTCGGAGGAACTGCAATTGCAAACTGACACTGATTACATTTCAGCTTTTTGAATGGGGAACTTTAAAAATGAAGAGCTACAAGTTGTGGACATTGAATGGAAGTTCCTTCCCTTCCTTCGCTTTATATTTGTTGTTGAAGCCGTTCCCAAGTCATGTCAGGGAAGGAGCAAACTGCTGTTTTCTTTGTGAAAGGCTCCCCAGGCCTTTTCTCTGCAAGGATTGCTCTGTGCCCAGGAAAGCTGTCTTACTGCACCCATGAAGTCTGGACAGCAGTGCTCAGTCAGAAGAGCATACAGCTTGAATCACGGAAGATTCCTTCTGTCATTGAGCTCATATATGGAATGTAATTGTCCTTCTGAATATTTTTGTTCATTTATGATGAAATATATATATATTTTTAGCATTAATTCCAGATTGCCACGCATGTAAGACAGCATCACATTGGGGGGTAAACTAAATCTAGAGCCTGCTTGTACAAAAACACATTCAGTGACATAATCCATAGAGTAAAATCCGTTGTATCAATCTGCACAATGAAATAAGAGGAATAATTCTCTGAAAATGGAAGAGACAGTGCTGTAGTGCTCATGAAATGTGGAGTTTGGAAGCACAGTTAGCAAAGGCCTGATTAAATGCATGTTGAATTCAACTGGGAATATACCCATTGTTTGTTAGAGACATTGAATCAGGCACTGATCAGCCAAAAGTGATAAATACTGCTTGCACTGAAGTGCCAGAAGCAGCTAGATGTTATTTATTTTTATAATGATAGACTCTTTGACAGCCTAGCAAGAGCAACACTGCATTCCAGTGCCAGATGCAGTCTGCATCTAAACCTAGTCATAGTCATGTAGTTGAAACATATTGAAACACTGCTACTAAAAGAGGAATTCATATCATTGCAATTCAGGAATGTCACAAGCCAGCCTGGAGAACACCTGAATGAAGTTCCTCAAGGAAAGCCATGTGGTTGAAGTAAAGGAGTGAGGTCAGGGCTCCAGGCTTGAGTTTTGACCTTGTTTCATAGATGCTCTTGGGCCAAGCTGCATAATCCCAAGGCACACCCTGACCTGCAAAACAGATAGTTGTAGCTTTTCCCTGCCTCAGGAGTTGTGAATGTTACTGCTTTATTGTCTGTCAAATGCTCAGCAGATTCAAATGGAAAACACCGTAGAAAGGAAGAGTGGTAGTTGCCTATAAACCAAAATGGTGGAGAGGAATCAAAAAAAAAAAAAAGCTGAAATCTATTGTTTTGAAATCTATAACTTTGTACAGAGGTATGAATGACAGCAGGAAAGCTGAGAGCTGCTTTTGCAGGGCAGATCCAAAGGAAGATCTCAGAATGGAGACTCACTACTTAGGAGGAACGATGGTATGAATGTTGTCCTTACTGCAGATCACTAGCTGTGTCTCGCTGAGCAGCTGAAGAGGTGCAGTATCATTGATATCCCTTTGCCTCCATGGATGCTTCAAGGCATTCTCCTGTCTTGGTCAGTGCTTTCCTTCCAGTGTCAAGCCCTGCGCCAGCCTTGACAAGGCATCTCACAATGGAGGGCTTTTTAAATTCCTAAATGTCTGAGGCTCTCTGGAGAGGATGAAAAGAAACTTTGATCTCAGTGACTGTGATGCCCTCCCTAATAGATGCTTTCAGCGTTATTTTTCTGTCCGCTTTTTGAGAGGAAACCTAATTCACTGAAAACACAGCTGCAATGGGGGAAGAACTCTTCCAGGATCTGCCAGTATTAGAGGTGCACGCTTAAGAAACACTGGAGAGGGATAATTCCTCCCCTTCTGCACCCTCATCCTTCTATTTTCTCATTAACCACAGTTAGGCACGCCAGGCTTGTAGATGCAAGAGCAAAAGGGATTGGTGCAGCAAGGCACCCTGCAGTGTCCCCCTTAAATCAAACTTCTCTGTTGAGTTTCTATTCATTAATGACATCCTAATGCAAAAGAGAGGTAAAAACTCGTGTGCATGCTGAAAGCAACTCTACCCATGCCCACAGCTGTCCCTTACATGCATCCACTCTTTTCCTGCCTTACATCAAGATGTTCCCTATCTTCAGAGGTTGTCTTACATCCTAAGTGTGGTTGATTTCTTTCTAATGAATATAAACCAGTCAGAATGTAGCAGGGACTCTCATGATCTCTCTCTTCTCTCACAGAGGCGCACGCTCACACTTCCCTCTCTCTTTCCCTTAGGGTCTCTGAGCGGACAGCAGGTCAAATAGCAGTCACAGTGGGGGAGAGGTATGCAGCAAACAGAAAATAATGAGGAAAACATTGACATTGCTTTTCAGATAGTAAGGAAGAGTTGGGTAATAGAGTTTCTTCACTTGTGAGTGTTGCAAGATACAATGCTCTACATACAGTGAGTTTCTTGCGAGTTTGGATGGATACATACAAAGATTTTCTTAAAAAAGAAAAGCTCCTCTGGAATGCCCATTGAGGTCTGCTGTCCCTTTGTACATAAGGTTGGTATTGGGTAATCTTGAAGTGCTGCAAATGTGGACAAGCTTTGTAGGAGCCTAAGGCCTTTCCAAAGGAATTTCCGCCCTTTGACTTATTTTAATTTTGGTTTTCCCTCCTCTCTCCACTGCCTCCTGCTTTCCACTCCTCCAAACTTTTTTTGCTTCTTTCTGTATTCCTGTGTCATTACTGCACTTTTCAGTGCCACCATCTTGAAGCCAGATGTCACACAAAGAGTCTGGACTAAATCTAAATCAGGGTATGTATTTATTATCCTGCTGGAGGAATCGAGGTGAAGCTGTAAGAGCAGGGCACAGAGGTTTCATAGGAAATTAGGTAAGCTCTTTGGGTTTTACTGCTCCATTCTCTGAAGAAGTAGACCTTCAGTATAGTTTTTCTGTAGGAGATTGCTGCTGTTTTAAAATGGGAATGATGAAGAAATGTTAGCCATTGTGGGACATTTGTTGTCCTGACATGAAAAGACCCTGTATTTAAATGAGCCCAGATTGAAATATTTTCAGTTCCAGGTGATTTCAGAGGCTGATGTTTGCACCAAGGAATTTGCATCATTAGCAAGTCAGAGTAGGGAGGGAGAGGGAAGGACTGGAAGGAGTCATTTGTAAGTAAAACTGATTTCTCCTCTTCAATATTTGATTTCTGTGTTTTGTTTTTGATGGGGAAAAAATAATCATCTCATTCCTTTATGTGCCCTTGATGAACTCTAAAAACATCCTTCCTCTGCTTGGCGTGTTTTTGGAAGGTGGAGAACAGGAGCGAGCCCTGAAAGTGGGAACTGAACTCTGCCTCCCCTCCATTGTTCCACTGAGGTTACAAAGCAACAAAGTCCTTTCCAGCAGCTCTTCTAGAATCACAGAAAGTGCCTGGGCAAGTGATTCTACTGTTTGCAAAGAGAAACTTGTTGTACTTTTATGTAATGTGCTAATTAGTGTGGGTGGATATCACCAGATCTAGTCTTGCAAGCCTTTTAGACAACTCCCTGAACACTCCCACCTTCAGATATTAACAGATAGCATTACACTTGCCAGATCTCATAAAAACCCACTAACAGACTTAATTCAGGCACCGTGTGAGTAAGTGGGTACATCTATTTCAAAGGGACCACATCTGTTTGTAGCAGACATGAATTCAGCCTCGTGTTTTCCTCTAGCTGACATTCAACTGCTGGGAAAGAAAATGAGGTGACCTTGGATCATCTATTTTTCTTTTATTCATGTGGCTTTAATCAGCTAAATCTGGGTGATGGCCACTTTTTTGACAGCTCTTCTTCGTAAGTTTTTGGGATAGAGGAAGCTGATGTCAAATGTTTCTTACACCATTTCCACCAAACAAACATCCCTGAGAAAACCAGTGATGGGTTTAATGGAGGGGGTTTAATTCCCCCAACCTAGAACTAGAATGGAAGACTAGGGAACTAGAGATGGAAGACACAGAACACAGCTTCACTGCTGATGGGGTATAAAGAGATGTCCCTCCTCCTGTCTTCTTTTCTTGCTCCTGTATCCCTCAAGCTGAAGCTTCAGCAGAAGCACGGAGTGATCTGACCTGCATGGACTGGATACAAATGAACAGAGCTATGAGGAGTTGATTTATAGCTTCACACCTTCCCAAAGAGTGCAGGCTCATTAGTGCCTTACGTTAATGCATGCCCCATAGCTGAGTTTAAAGTAAGGAGATTGTTAGCACTCTCTTCAGTAGCAAGAGTTCTCAGAGGCCATTCCTGCTTTTCTTCTGAAAAGAAATCTGAACATAAAGAGACATATTGCACATCTGCTCATCTTTGCATCAAGCCATTCAAGTTGAAAAAATCAAGACATAGATATGCTGATTTCTCTGCATAAATCTACAAAAGGAAGTTCTCCCTTACACGAAGGAATGAAGTACTCTCATTTCAGCTTGGAGGTGACCAAAGAACAATTATATGGAAAAAAACAAAACAGGGTAGATAGAATCTGAGACAGAGTTTGGAGGCCCTAACCAGCCAGAGGCAAGACCTTGCCTTTTGTTTCTGAACTTACATAATAACAGGGACATTATGATTTCCATCCAAATACAGAGTCTCTAAAAGAAGCATGTTGTTACTTCTATTTATTCCTGTGGGTCACCGTGCCCTAAAAAGCAATCCATTCACTTTGTATCTTGCTGGCTCAGAACATTCCCCATGCCTCACTTACTGTTTGCTGTCCGTCCTTTTATTTTTTTGGAGGAAGGCACAGCAACTCATATATGTGAAAACAAAGGTCATGTTGACTTGTTATTCGCTTTTCCCTTGCCAGCTGCAAAGCTCATCCATCATGCCTAGGTATCGTGAGGACACGTGGTTCTCTGGGCTGATGCTGACCCATCAGTACGAGGTAGATGTGCTTCCCTTTCCTTTTCTTTCCTTATGCAAAAGCATTTTGTTATTTGAAAGAATTCCTCTGTATTGTACAGACTTCTCACAGCCAGGCATCTGATTTAGCTCTAAACCTCTCAGAAGCCTGCAGGCTCTATATGAAGATGACCCCAGCTTCCCCAGATGATTTCCTATATGTGTCTTCAGGGCAGTTTGCCACTGAGATTTGATCCTGACCAATTTCTTCCCTCAAATAACCATCTGTATGATTACTGTGAATGAATACATGACATGAAATTCTTTATCTTCCCTTTTTAGTGTTAGTGGCAGCATAGCTGCTAGTTGCTTTAAGCACTGAGTTCTCCCTGCATTCCTCCTCAGCACATTACAGCATTAAAGTGCTGTAAAAAAATAAGTAATTCAGTGCTGTCTTCTCCAGGAAAATCTCCTGGAAGAGATTTTCTTTCTCAGTTTCTTTATGCAGAGAGGGGTCTTGAAATAAACGCAGAGGTGATACTGCTTCTGGAACATTGCGGCTATATGGAAAATGCTGTCCTATGGAATTTGGGTTTATAATAATAAGGACTCATCACAGAAGAATGTTAATAGAAGATGGAAATGGCTGTAACAGAAAACAAGTGATATCAGAGCTCAACAGACTTGCACTGTCATTATAGCCCCCTGCAATTTTGCCCATTGCAATAGCAGAGGTGACAAGCTCATTGTCTCTGCTCTCTCAGTTGTTGAGTGCAGAGCAATAAATGCCTTTTTTTTTTTTTTAATGTCCTTATGTCAGAGAAGCAAAGCAATTCTTGAGTTCAGCGTCA